TCTTTTAATTTCGAGTCGATTTTGTAAGTCGTTGCAATTTTGTGTTTTTAATTTCTAAGTCGGTCTTAGATTTGAAATGTAAGAGTTTGTTCTTCCTCATCTTTAGTCCATTCTTCTATTTTAGTGTGTTAGTGGGTGTTCGGATGGCTCATCTCTTTTGTGTGGGTAGGCTCCCTATATTTCTCGCCTCCACCACATATCTTTTGCAACTACCCCCTACTTCCACCACACACCCAACATTCCATGTGTGCCAGCTAAGAAAAGTTATTGGCAACCACAGCCCATCTACAACACTTTCGATGACCTTGACAGCAAAAATTGAAGTGATCCTGGAGCCAATGGAAATGAGAGGAGTTTGATAGACAACTGGAGGAGCTAGAGAAGTGTTGATCGAGGGGAAAGAGGGGAAAGTTCTGACCGACTATAAAGCAACATGGGAATCATCTCGAATGATTCAGCACTAGTTTCCTTTGTTTCACCTTGAGGACAAAGTGGATCTTTAAGAGAGGAGTATTGATGGAATGGATGAATCAATCCATCCAATTAACCCGGCCCCAGTATGAGGGGCCGGTCTAACTGGCAAGCGTTGGGCAAGGAGTGATGGGCTCAATGGGGCTTAATTCACCTTTAATTACTTACCATAGAAAACCAAACTTGGGATGGAATTCGGAAGGTTTACTTAACAAAAGAGACGAAACAATAGTTGGCGAGCACAACGCTACCCATATAACGTACAATCAAGAAATAGATAGCACTATTGCACTCAAAACTTTAAAATTACCCAGGGGAAGGCCTCTAGTGATCGGTTTAAGAGGAGACAGAAGATGATGACTACGGATGCGACATTGCACAAAGTTGCCCGAACAAAATTTATTCATGAAACAAACTTCAACATTGCGCCCGAAACATTGATTATCTGAATTATCCAACAAATCCAAGTTCAAATTTTGTCTGAAAGAAAAGCAAAGACACGCAAAATTTGACCGAACATTTTTTTAAGCACAATGGGAAGAAGACCTCTGGTCGTGGTGTCAACAGACACCGACCATATACGTTTTAAGTGCGGTGAGAAGGCCTAGACTTTCTAGAATTCTCTTACATGGGGGGCAATGCCAGAAGGCTCCCAAAATTCAGCTTGAAAATCAATTAAACTTGAACTTTAATCAACGGTAAGGTCGGATAGAGTACCTCCAATTATGTAGACTAGGAACCAAGATAACCTGGTAAGATAGAATCATAGGATCTTAATAGGGTTCATCGCCATTCCCCTCTTCATCCCTTTTAAGTGCAAAATGATGAATTTCTAACTTTAAATATTAAATTTCATATCTAAATTTATTGTTACTATATGCTAGCTACTAAGTACCTATATACTGAAATCTTAATCGGAAATGTTCTTCTATCACTAAGAGAGGTAATTAACTATAAGGGCATATGCCTATAAGAAATAAGACCTTAGATCTTGAAGTCATCATATAGAAGGGAGAAATCTCTAGATAGTGTCTTATCTCTTATCTAATCTATCTGCTAAATTTTTTTCTCGGAACTTAATCCGCTAAAACACACACCTAAATTATATGCGGAGAGAATGGAGCCCAAAAGCCAAACTTTTGGAGCCCACACTGATAACCTAAAAGCTTAAGAAGGAACTATAGAGGGATCAATAAACAAAGATTCTTCTAGCATAGTAGACAACGAAGAAGGCCACCAACAACTACAATTGAATGATCTACATGTTCCAAAACACAATTTGAAGAAGAGGCATACAATGAGGTATCTAGGGGTAGACAAAAACTAAGTCAGAATTGGAGGAACCGAGTTAGGATTGAAAGGGATTGCAAATGATGATGGTTACGAGAATATAGAGGTGATGGATGCATATAATATAACATGTTAGAGAGAAGATGAGAAGTATTAAGCACACAAAGACATAAGTGATAGTTGATGATCTGAAAAGGTGAGAATCCTCAACAAAGGCAGAGAAGGCAGAATTTGACATGTGAATGAGGGTCAGACATTGACGCCAAATGGTGTGGTGAAAATAATGGTGGCCCTGAGAAGGGCAACCAGTGAGAAAGGAGAAGAAGCTCAAGTGATAGTGCAAGGCAAGAGAAAGTTGAACCCAAGGAAGAGAACCGTTAATTTTGAACTTCATTGATGGGTTCAATAATCAAAATACCATTATAAGGGATCCTATCAAGAAAATGCCCTCACAAACTCAAGGAAAATATATTTCAAGCTTTCCTCTCAATGATAAGCACATTCAAGATAAAATTATGACGGGAAGGAGCTCAATTCATATTCAAACCCTACAAAAAAAATAAGAAATTTTAAAAATAATAAAGCAATAATTAACTGCTTTGTGCTTTGAGTAGCCATATGGATCCACTATACCCGTTTTCCAGAGGTGGCAAATTTAAATATAACTTAAACTCACAAAAAACTAATGTCATATTAAGTATCTCCATATAATGACACTCAAAAATCTCATCCCAATAACGATATGATACATGCCCCTTTAACTCGGTGGTTAGCCTAACTCTTATAACGCCAATATGGTACAGTTCTAGGTTAAGCCTCGAGGTTCCCCAATGGCCAAGTTTATGAATTTTGACCTATAAGGTGCATCTAATAGAGTAATAAGCCCTCTATTAGCTAAGGTCAGCTTAAAATTAGCCTCTTTTCCAAGCTTTCACCCCATATCTACTAAATCTTATTGGATGACTCAACTTGTAATTGCTAAGAAGGATCGTCAATTAGATTAGGTCAATTACCTTCATTGACAAAAGGGTTGTTTTGTAGCAACTATCGAAAATACAAGTATATCTTAAATATGGTATAAATTAAATGCAATGTATTTGAGATATTTAGTGTTGTTTGATTGATTGCAAAATAAATTCAATATCTCATTAACTTTATTTAGTTGGAAATAAAAATGAATGTTAAATTTTAAAATAATATTATTTTTTAAAAATATAAATATATATAGTATTGATATAACATTTTAATATATCTTTTTTATAATGGATCTAAGGTATAATAAGTTAGATGGTATCGATAAGGGTTTGCAATGTTAAGAAGAATCTAGGGCACAGTGAGCATGAGGGCATCAGTGAGTTTGAGGACAATAGAGTTTGCGAGCATGGGGCACAACAGGTCGTCAGCGAGTGCGACGAAGTCGGAATGTGCAAGCATAGGGACAGACGGATGTCATGAGCGACGATAAAGTTTGCGAGTGCAAAGATAACTAGAGGTCACCAACAAGTGTGTACAAGCCATAATTAGAAAGTAAGGATGACACGAGATTGTTCACTAGCGATGAATTTGGAATACTGGGTGGAAAGAATTTTAAATTCATTAAAAAAACTGAGCAATTAAAGATATTCAAAACCCCTTTGAGAAATCCTTTCAATTAATTTTAATTGAGACTAAAAACCCTTAAAACGAAAATATATATATTTCAAATGAGATGCACTCAAAATACATCAAAATAATTTGGCCCAAAGTATACATAATTGTAGGATATAGATTAGATTTATCATCACTAATACTCACAATCCCTTTGAGCTATAATTATGTACAATTTATATTTCACAAATCCAATTTTTCTACTAAAATCAAAGTATTGTCAAGCCAATAGGTAGCTTTAATTGAAGGTTCTCTCTCACAATCAAGAGGAGTGATTAACCATATAAGCTTATTCCTACGAGAAGCAAAAATAATATCATATGATCTTCATAAAACGGTAAATATCTTGGTACAGTTTATCTGATATTCAATTTATCCTCTAAAAAAACAACCCAAAATAAATTTAAATATATGGAAAAATTTGTTTGAGATGTTTTGAGATGTTCGTAGGATGGGCTTTTATTGTAGAGGAGTTGATATGGAATTTGAAGGTGTAAAGCTTTGTTGGGAAGGCGATTGATGAGGTACTTGGCAGATTGGATGGCTTCAGCCCTTCCTTGGCAACACCTTAGTATCTTGGTGTGTCAAGAAAAAACCAACCGTAGTAAAATCTTCCACCGAAGTTGAATATAGAGCACTTGCTTCCGCCACCTCTAACATCATATGGCTTTGTCGACTACTTGCAGATTTTCAAATACCCCAAACTGCTGCCACCCCTCTCTATCGCGATAACACCTTAGCAATCGCTCTTTAAAACAACCTTATGTTTCACGCTCGCACTAAACACATTGAGATCGACTAGCACTGCATTTGTGATTGAATTCTATCTAAAGAGATCAAAGTGCTCCACATTGCCTCCTTGGATCAACCAGCGAACATCTTAACAAAGCCTCTCTCGGACTCGCTTCAACACTCTTAGACACAAATTAACTATCCAACCTTTGGATGCTTAATTTGTGGGCGGTTGTTAGCCACTCATTACTATGAGTGCCTCTTACTAATTCGTTATTCTCTACAGTCCACACTACCCTGAATATTCTCTATTTACAATACAGATCAGAATATGTGTTTTGTCATTTATAGTTAACTCAGCTCTTCATAAGCTGCTCACTGTACCAAAATATATTTAATATACACAAGCTTTAGTTCTGGTATATCTTAAAAACAGCCTTCGTCTTCTCTCAGTTTTTAGGACTCTAAACATACGTTCATGTAACCCATTATATCATATCAGGTTTCTGATAAGAAATTAAACCCGGCCAATGGGTGCTACTACCAGAAAAAATAAAATATCAAGAATACTACAAGTCTTACTATAATTTTCTTAAAAATAGAAATGAATATATCATGCTTTGATATATGAAAACTATACTGATATTATTTTCCCAATTAAACCAAAGCTACGGAAATGGAACTAGCTTAAGGTAATCAGATATCTCAATATTGTAAATGAAATACGGATCAACGTAACGGGGTCAACAAAACAAAAATTAGCACAATTCTACTTAAAGAAAATTTTAGCTCTTTATCGATATTTTTGCAATAATTGAGCAAGTTTGAAGAACGTGGGAGAATATATTTAAATAGCATACCAACAGCGCCACCTCCAGGGCTTTGTGCAGCTATATAAGCAAAGCCAACATCAGGGAACAAGCCAATTCCATTTTCTGGCATTGCTAAAAGCGTTCTCTAGCAAAAAAAAAAAATTGCACTAGATAAAGTACAACAACGGTAATGCTTTAGATTGCAGTTCGTATGGTTCAAGGATGTTTTTTAATGATTTCCAATGAAAATTGCACCTCAGTAATAATACGATAACGGCCATGGCCTGAAAGACCAATGCCAAACCCCATGGTCACACCATCCATGAAACAAATATATGGCTTTTGATAGTCAAATATTTTACATATCAAGGAGTATTCTGCAGCAAATACCTGCAGGACACAATAACAAAAGAATTAAACTGAGAGTAGAACTTAACTGTTAACTATTTTCAACAATGAGTCACTCAAACGAGTAAAAGTCCGAGAACTAAAAGGATAGCAAAAGTCACACTTAAACACGTCATCACTAAGAAATAGATAGAAGATGAAAGCTTTGTTTGGGACAACTATCTTATTGCTTTCTAAAGAAGCTTCTTGGTACAAAAATTTTTAATTCAAAAATTTTTTATACTAAAAAGCTGATTTAGAAAACAATAAAAAAAACCATCTCAAACGAAGCCATGATAGTAGAACCTTTTTTAGAGTAATAGCCAATAATTTCCCTCCACCCATTATCTGCTTATTTTTCATTCTCCTTATCCTCATCTTCTTTACAGGAAACTTGATGTAGGGGGGGGTCAAAACAAGATGAGAATTTGTTTTGACCCTTGGGCTTCTGGTGTTCTCGGGTAAGCCTTGGTTGCCTGGTATTGAGCTCAAAATGCTGGAATTCTACTTGGTGTTAGGTCATAAATGCTTGAGCTAAAATTTTAGCTCAAAGATTGGGGATTAATTGCACTTCCTAGCTCATTAATCCAAAAAGGTTTGCTATTAAGCCTTGAATTTATTTTGTAGTGGACTTTGCCTCTTCTCCTTCCCTTTGTCCAATTGTTTTCTTGTGCAGGATGTTTTCCCGTGCCTTGTCCCTTGGGTTCCCGTGGCTGGCTGTTGGTTTCCTGTGCTGGGAGGTTTTCCCGTGCCTTTGCCCCCTTGGTTCCCGTTGTTGGCTGTTCGGTTTTGCGGTTCCCTGCTTGGTTTCATGCTGGGCTGCTAGGTTTTGCAGTTCCCTGCTTGGTTCCGTGAGTTTCTTTCTCTATTTTGCTAAAACGTTTGGGAATTGCTGTTCTGGCTGTTGGCCTTTCATTTCCTAAAATCTAATTGGCTTATTTGAAAGGTTTATGGCTGTTTGGTTCCCCACTCTTACCTATATATTAGAGATGTATTTTGAGAAAAAAAAAGAGGTGAAAAATGAGATTTTGAAATGGAAAAACTGAAGGTTTTTCTTGGAAAAGCTTGAGAGCTTTGTCCACTTCTTCTTCTTCTACTCTTTGAAAAAGCTTGCGAGCTTGTCTCCCTTCCGTCTCGACTTCTAATCTCTTTCATCTGTCCGCAAGTTCCCTTCCACATGTATCCTTCTTCTCAAAGCAACAAATGGAATGCAACTTAAGGTGTTTTTAATTTGTGATTGTGTCAAGTTTGTAAGTGTCATTTGTGTGCGTCGTTTGTAAGTCTTTTTATAATATTAAAGTTGTATTTTGTCTATTTCTTGTAATTTATTTATCCTAGTAAGGGCATATCTTTCTAGAAAAAAAAATTAGGGGTCTCCTTTTTTTTTTTTTTTGCTTATTTTTGTAAACATCAAATTTGGTATCAGAGCAAGTTCTTATCCCTGTTTGTCAAGTGAGTCTTGGTGAGTCATAGTAGTTGTCGTGTAAGTCTGTGGTGTCAAGTAATTTAAGTTTTGTTGAGTCTTTTAGAAAAATGGAAAATCACAAAAAGATCAATTCAGTCAAAGAAGAAAGCAACCCAGAAGATTCTGAAATTTAAAGTCCAATGGGCAAATGGATGCCGTCAGAAGGGAGTTCAACTAATCCTCTTCAGAATGAATTATACAAACTACAATTGAAAATGCATGTGTACGGAAAAGTACATGAAAAAGAAGCAACTGTTGCAAGCTCAGTTTATGCAAGAACGAGATGAAATTCTAAAAAGGTATGAAGTAAAATTTCAAGAGCTTGATGCCCTTCCACCGTCTCCTAGTAAGAAAGCTAAAGACAACTCATCAGAAGATGAGTTTTTCAAGTAGGGGAGTTTGATGTAGGCAGGAGGGGGGGGTCAAAACAAGATGAGAATTTGTTTTGATCTTTGGGCTTCTGGTGTTCTGGGGTAAGCCTTGGTTGCTTGGTATTGAGCTCAAAATACTGGAATTCTACTTGGTGTTAGCTCATAAATGCTTGAGCTAAAATTTTAGCTCAATGATTGGGGATTAATTGCACTTCCTAGCTCATTAATCCAAAAAGATTTGCTATTAAGTCTTGAATTTATTTTGTAGTGGACTTTGCCTCTTCTCCTTCCCTTTGTCTATTTGTTTTCTTGTGCTAGCTATTTTCCCGTGCCTTGTCCCTTGGGTTCTCGTGGCTGGCTGTTGGTTTCCTGTGCTGGGAGGTTTTCTCGTGCCTTTGCCCACTTGGTTCCCGTGGTTGGCTGTTCGGTTTTGCAGTTCCCTGCTTAGTTCAGTGCTTGGCTGCTCGGTTTTGCGGTTCCCTGCTTGGTTTCGTGAGTTTCTTTCTCTGTTTTGCTGAAACGTTTAGGAATTGCTGTTGTGCTTGTTGGCCTTTCATTTCCTAAAATCTAATTGGCTTATTTGAAAGGTTTATGACTGTTTGGTTCCCCACTCTTGCCTATATATTAGAGATGTATTTTGAGAAAAAAAAAAAAAGAGGTGAAAAATGAGATTTTTGGAATGGAAAAACTGAAGGTTTTTCTTGGAAAAGCTTGAGAGCTTTGTCCACTTCTTCTTCTTCTACTCTTTGAGAAAGCTTGCGAGCTTGTCTCCCTTCCGTCTCGACTTCTAATCTCTTTCGTCTCTCCGCAAGTTCCCTTCCACATGTATCCTTCTTCTCAAAGAAACAAATGGAATGCAACTTTAGGTGTTTTTAATTTGTGATTGTGTCATGTTTGTAAGCGTCATTTGTATGAGTCGTTTGTAAGTCTTTTTATAATATTAAAGTTGTATTTTGTCTATTTCTTGTAATTTCATTATCCTAGTAAGATCATATCTTTCTAGCAAAAAAAATTAGGGGTCTCCTATTTTTTTTTATTACTTTTGCGTGCATCAAAACTCATCTCAAGGAAGTCAGCCTCTTTCTTTTTTAATGTCTCCACGTCAAACAATCAAGAGCTCATAGAAAAAAAATTTTGTCTCCTAAACAAATTTTTTAATGAGTTCATGAACAAGCTGCATCAACTGCTCCTGCTATTGTATCAAGAAACGGATGGTTGCCAGGCTATATTTTGCTTGGAGGGCGTCAACAAGTATTCTCAAGAAATGTCAATGCTCAACTGATCCGAACCTAAAATGTCGAGTCATCCACCAGTGGACAACGTCCTCACCAAAATATAGATTGCAAAGCATCTTTCTCTCGGGCGAACAGTCCACCTAAAAGACTTTCTCCATTAGTGGGAACTAGTCTGGCGAGTTCATCTTTATACATAGCTGCAGGTACATGCACATTCACAGGACTAACTGTTGTCAAAATTAACAAAGGCATCTCCATTGTGGAAATGTCTATAGTCACCATGACCAAAGGCATCTCCATTGTTGTTACGGCTCCATGTAGCTAACAGTTGTCATTTTGTGCATCCTCAAAAACATTTCTTAATTTATAATTTTGGAGTACAACCTAAAGTCTGCAGAAAAAAAAATGGTGGTCAAGTTCCACCAACAAGCCTGGGTTTCCATGCCTATATAATGTAGACTTGAATATGACTGTTTATTATTTATTTTCAATCTTCTGGATGCAGGATCTTCTATAATATCCCAAAATATAATGATTTTCAAAGAAAGAAGAACCATTTTTTTTGGAATATATATAAACAATCATATTCAATCTTTTACAACTCTAGACACTTTACAACTCAATATAATTAAACAAAATCTAAGATATTCAGATTTACATCATTGCTTTTCATATATATCATCACCGAGGAACATTCTAATTTGCAGGAATATAAAAGAGCAAGTATATATAAAGATGCATTTATGATGGTGCAATATGAGAAATTATATATACATAAATGTATATTAAAATAAAATTACACGGCTCTAAATTTTCACTCCAATCACTGGTGCACCAAAAGAAAGTAAAGATGACATCTAAAGTACATAAAACAAGCAAACACATATGAGTACCCTACAGGCAAGGCACTCCTAAGCTAGAGTTGGTTGTCCTAGCAAACCATCTAAGTGTGTGTAAAGGCTATGTGGCTTGGATAGTTTCAAGGTTTTATTAATTTTGAATTATTTATACAATAACAATAACAAAAAGCTTTTGTCCCACTACGTGGGGTCGGCTACATGAATCCTTTTTCTCCATTGTGTTCTATTAAAAGTCAAATTCTCATTTAAATCTAATAAAGAAATATCATTTTTAATATTTTCTAACCAAGTCTTTTTAGGTCTACCACTGCCTTTCTTAATATAAGTCAAATCTAATACATCTACTTTCCTAATCAGGTAATCGAAAGGATGTCGTTTTATGTGACCAACCCATCTAAGGCGACTCTCTCTAATCTTATCTTCCATTAGAGGTACTCCAACCTTTTCATGTATATGCTCATTTCATATCTTGTCTCTAAAGGTAAAACCACTCATCCACCTGAGCATCCTCATCTCTGCAACACTTACTTAGTATTATGCTTCTCTTTTAATGGCCAACATTCTGCACCATAAAGCATTGTAGGTCTTGCCACCATCTTATAGATTTTTCCCTTAAGTTTGAGGGTAACTTTTCTATCACACAACAAGCCCGATGCATTCCTCCACTTCAACCATCCAACTTGAATTCTACTGATAATATCCCCATCTATTTCACCATCAATCTGAATAATAGATCCAAGATATCTAAAACGTGTACTCTTACTAATGATTTGATCATCCAAAGTCACAATCCCCGCATTAGGTCCATTACTACTAAAATTACACTCCATATATTAATTTTAGATCTACTCAAGCGAAAACCTTTAGACTCTAAGGTTGACCTTCATAATTCAAGAAAATCCAATTTTAGCACTTGGTTCAACCCTATTGGTCAATCCATGTGGGCCCAAGGCTTGAAAGAAATGTAGGACTCAAGTTAAACTCATGAACAATCCTCATGAGTTTGGTTCAATGATTTAGTCAAAATCATGACAAATGAATTTTAAGTGTATAGGGTGATTTTGGTCAACTAGGGTTAACCTGGTCAACCAGGATTGACCAAGGGTCGAAGGTGGATCCAACTCATTCCAAATGATGTTTTGGGCATATTGGAAGTGTCACATGCATTGATGAGGGCATTTGGTTCAAAATGCAATTTTAATGGCTTAGAGGATCATTTGGTCAGCCATGGTTGACTTGGTCAACTAGGGTAGCCCATAAATTAAAACTTGGTTCAATGGATTTAAAATGTCATTTAGAGTTTGTTGGAAGTGGTTTTTAAGGTTTGGTGGGTCTCTATACATGTAATGTAGTTTAAAAGGTAAAAGGATAATTTGGACAACCTAGGTTGACTTGGTCAACTAGGGTTGACCATGGCTTGGGGTTTGGTTCAGTGGATGTCAAATGAAGTTTTGAACATATTTGTAGAAGGTAACATGGATTGTTTGACTTGAGCAATGTTGAGTTTTAAGAAAAATTCAATTTTCAAAGATTTAAGATTTTGAAGTTTTGTGGTCAACCAAGGTTCAATGTTGGCTCAATACATCATTTTTAGGTCATTGGTGATGTTCAATGGGTTTGGTAAAAGTTTCAAAATCAAATTCCACAATATGGTATATTCAGTGGCAAGGGCTGTAAATATTTACCAAAATATTTAAGTGACAGATCAGGAATCCAAGGTCATTTGATTAGATTTTGAAGTGATCAAAATTTCTCCAAAATCTGATTATGGACCAATGGGTTTTAGGCTAGCTTTGAATATTGAATTTTGGACATTTAATTTTGCAATGAATTTGATTATTGGATTAGATTTAGATTTGATTCAAACAATGGCTTGAAAAGATTTAGGGTTTTCAAATGTCCAAATTATTGACAATCATGGATGATCGTCAATGATTGAGCAAGAGATCAGGTGACAATCTATGGATTATCAAATGATAGTTTTAGGAGTTAATGATGAAATCACCATGCCAAGGCATAAGGATGAGATGAATTTCAAGTTTGAAGCTTAGTTCAATGATTGATGCTTGGAGAATGATGTTGGATGTAGGGAAATTGGCCTCATTCAAAAATGAGGCCAATATTCATGGTCACAATTTAATAGTGACACTGTGTTGAAATCACCTCATTAGAGAGTCTTGGTCATAATCGTTTATCTATAATATCATTTGACAATAAAACCACTAGCAGTGGAGATATGCCATATATTACTAGTGTGAGATCTTTTTAAAGTGACCATAGTGATGCATTTGACATTACATTAACTCCTTATGAGCTAATATTTTTTAAAATTTATCATCATTGAAAAACGATTACAAATTGTGGATAATTATTTCTTTAAGTTTTAGGTAATAAACTTCACTTGGAGCATAACAAACTTCATGATGGTTTTGAATTTTTACACTTTTATTAGGATTTGCACCCTTCAAATGATTTTATTTTGAGATATGTGGAGCATTTTGAAAATAGAGTCCCCTTTAATTGATATTCACATTCAACACATCTATCAGTCGGTAACTATTTATGACATTTGAGATTTGTAGTATGAATATTTTGATTTTAAAAGTGAACCTCTCAACTTGTGATCAACAATGAACATTCCCATCATAGGGGCCTTGAATATTTTAATTTTTTCGCTTATTATCGTGTTAACTTTGTTAGTTTGCTTGCAAAGGATCAGGCATATGATTGACATATGTTGTTCCATTTATAAGACTATCATTGTGAGTATTGAGATTAGATACTTGGTCACAAACATGCTCTGTTAGAAATAATGTTTCTACCATAACTTATCAAGAGATGGAAGTCTTGTCAACTCCGATCATAGGGATATAGCGGATCGGACTTCAAAAGTAGAACTTATAATCTTGCCCTATAGGCAAGGCGACTCGCTTGAGAGTGGGTATAATATGTTGATGATCCTGATTTCTTAAAAGAGAGTTTATGATATTTCAAAATAAATTGCGTTCCTTTTAGAGTTGTTGCATGCTTCTCAAAGCAATAGCATTCTTTTCTGTGCACTTATATACAATACACTTGCATACTTCTCAATGAATTTAAGCAATACACTTACAACCTCTTTAAGATATTATACTTGAATTTGATGGTTATATTGTGATACATGTATGATTTACAGGTGTTGATTATTAGCACAAATATTTTACTGAAAGATTTGCAAAATTTATTTTGAAATGTAAAGGAACTTTTTCTATTCGATTGCATGTATATTGTAGATCCAATGGCAATGGACATGAATTGGAATTTGTCAAATGTTTTCATGATGTATAGGTCTACCTACCTGCATGGAAAAACATTACAACAAAAAACTTTCCAACCACATCAACAAAGATTTGGGTGCTTAAATTTGGTGATCCAGAGTTTTCTTCCCCATCATGTCAGGAACAGTGCGTATTAGGAGTTTCACCTACACAAAAGCATGACACATAATTTTCCCATCATGCCATGTATACGAGTAATTATTTTTAACAATTTAGTGAGGTGATTTTTGCATTTTATACATTTAAGCATGTGGCGGTGTTGGCGAGACTTGACGATGAGATCAATGGATTTTGCAGGGCAAAGTCAAACAACTCTCTCTCTCTCTCTCCATTTTAACATTTCTTTTTTCTTCTTTCTTTTTTTTTTTTGCTTTCTTTTTTCTTTTTTCCTCTCCCTTTTTTAAAAAAATTCCCTATTTTTCCTTTTATTTTTTTATATTTCTCACTATTTTTTTAGAGATAAGTAGTGTAAGTTGGATGATGGAGAATGAAAGTGAGGGATTGGTGGCCTCGAAAAGAAAGAGATAGTTATAGAAAGTTTGAGTGAATAAGAGAAAGAAGAGAGTGTGTTACAGGGAAGGATAGAGGAAGTAGAGAGTAGGGAAGAGATGAAGATAGCTGAACAGAGAATAAGGTAATGGTTGCAATTGATTGAAGGTCACCAGAGAAGTCATCAATGATTTCTCGGGCTTAGGTGGTTGTGTTCGAGGAAGGTAGTGATATCAAGAGACTGCCACTGCTATAACAGATGTTGGCGAGAGAAGCAGAGGAGATAAGCATTTGTGTCACACTCTACTATGCAAGTAAAAAAACATAAAGGTTGGCACTTGAGGCAAAACAAGTGCATGAGGGAGAGAGGGAGTGTAGTGAAGTTTGCTAGAGGGAGTTGGCTGACGAAAAAGGTTGGCACTTGAGGCAAAATAAGTGCGCGAGGGTGATAGGGAGTGTAATGAAGTTTGCCAAAGGGAGTTGGCCAATGAAAATATTTAAGGTTAAATATTTTAATTAAATATCTATCTTTATGTGACCATAAAAGTTGTCAAATTTTGCTTGAATGCATAAATTGTGGCATGTTAGATTCCTAGTTCATCTCCTAACCCAAACTGCGACATTCCCTACAAGTGAATTGCCCCAATCCATGAGTAGGATAAAGTAGTTAGCAATCCAAAAATCATGGAATAGCTGTACGTTGAGTGAGGAAGGTGCTTACCCCATTAATTTTGGGGTTATGCCATGCGGGGTGAGTTGGGTGTTAAGCCAATAAGACAACTACCACTTGTTGCCCATGTAATATAACCTCTTGCATGGAAAAAAAAAAGTAGGCACTATCAGCTAAATATCTTCTTTTTGGAGAAACAATTACTAAGCAAGTCAACTGCAAATAATAACACCTAAGAAATCATTATAATGATCGCCTAAAACCATTCAGGAAAAGAAATGACTACTGAAAGACCTTTTGCACAACTGTTGTATTTTTGTCCTTATGAATTTCAGCCACAACACCTTTAATATCCATTCCTGCATCAATTACAAATCCAACTGTCATTACTTTAACAATGCCTGAGGGATAACAATTCATACACAATTATGAATTTACCAAATATAATAATTGCGTTTCTAAAATTATGAAGCAGCATATCATAAAACGCATACAATGAAGGTAAGATACCTGCTGAAAAAGCACGAGATGAGCTGCTTTCAACCAGGACGCATTTTACATTTGGATTGCTTTCCCATTCATCGAGATATTCCTTGTATTTTATGTCCATTTCTGCATTCAATTTTTTCCATAAGCCATAAGCCATAAGTCTAAATAATAATAACAATCTAGGCAACAAAAAAAAGAGGATTGGAATGATGAAAATGGAAACTATTCCAGGAAAATTCATAGAGAACCTCCATAACTATGGAATGATAAAAAATGGAGGCCATGTCAGGAGAATTCATACAAGATATTTCATAACTGATAAGAATGCAATCCAAATAATAGTATAAGCTAAAGGAATAAATTAATGTTATGCTTCTTGATCAACATTACGAAGGAGAAAGCACATTTTGAGTAGGTGTAGACTTCTCAAGGAAAAGGAAGGGAATGAAGAGTAACAAGAAAGGGAGAAACCAAAAATCTTTCATTTCATAACAATTTCTTACAATAGGAGAGGTATCTATAATGCTTGGGTAGACGAAGTTTACAATATAGAACTAGTCTACCTAACACAAACTTAAAATAGAATACAAGAAATACACTAGTGCTTATTACATATATATAGACTATTTAGTTTGTACTTAATTTGGCTAAAAATATATTGCTGATATATAACACTCCCAGCATCATTGAAAACAACCTTGTCCTAAAGGTTGAGAAAAGAAAAAGACGAACAGAAAGCTGCAAAATTTTCCCATGTGGCATCACCGGAAATTTAATTTCCATTGCAAGAAAATTTGACTACAAAGTTGTAAAAAGGTAGAAGGTGAAAAAGCAATTCATAATGCCGTCATGAATAGTTTGATGAAGATATTTAGAATGAATCCTAACTTGTTAAGAGGCAGAACGAAAATGAAGTTTGAAAAAAAAAAGGCTCTATATAATTCATGTACTATTGGAATAGTAAATTTATCTTTAATGGTGAGTAGATCTAGAGTTAATGCAAATACGCCAAGTACATTAGCATTCTTTCAAAAATGTGGAGAATGATAAAGACGGATGTTACCTGGCTGAGATAAGGATGGAAGATGAATACGTTAATCGATGGTACGAGTTTGAGGTATATCTTATGGTGGTTGAAACAAATGTTAAGATCATTTGAGGAAGATAGAACTGGATGATGGTAGATGATGTGTATGAAACGAGAAACTGGTCGGAGAAGGTGGCGGTTGTGGAGAAGGGATTCAGTTAGTGGAACCAAGAATGCTGGCAGAAGAGGAAGTATCTTAAAGGAGTGGAGTATGTGTATGGTTAATACACAAATTATCAAGTTGCTTGTCTATGGAATCCATGAAAGCATGCATTTGTTGAAGGGATGAGTCAATAGAAGCAAAATGAGCATCAGTCTGCTGCAGTGACTTACGAATTTCTTTAAATTATGATTCTTGGTAATTTTGCATTGCACGCAAGGCATCCGCAAGATCTACAATAATCATTTTTCACTAACTGTCCAACTTCTTTTATCCAAGAAAGAGTTATGTTTCTTGCAAAATGTTGTAACTGATGTATGCGTTTAGCAGCTATGTTGTAGGAGTTGCCAATTCAAATTCTGAAGATGCAGGTAGGCATGTCTGTCGAGCTCAAAGGGAAAACACAACTGTTGGGCATGTGCTGGAGGCTGAAAAACTGGGGGAGGGGGAAAAAAGGGGGGGGGGGGGGGAGCTATTCAGTCCAAGAAGAGGCTGGGAATGAACGTGGGAGTTGAGGAAGCGATGGATGATGATCTGGGTTGGTTATTGGCTGGGAACAGATGGATGCTGCTGTCAATGCCAAAGCCAACAGCTGGACATGCTGCTTTTGTTAAAAAAACTGCAAGTGTGCAGCTGCAATGGAGGGTTTCTGTTCTTGAAAACAGCGAGGTCAGATGGTTTGTTATGTAGGAAAAGAATGGCTGCAACAGGAGCTGATTTAACAAGATGTTTGTGGGAAGACTACTGCTATTGTTGGTGTTCTTGAACCGGTAAGCTGATGGCTGATTTGAAAAAACAGCAGTGTGAAAAACTGTTGCTGTTCTTGTAAACACCAGGTTTTGATGGCTGAGTGGAGGAGGATTCCTGCTGCTGAATGCAGGAGAGTGGTGGAAGGAATGCTGCAGGAAACTAAAGAGGAAGGATTTTGAAGGCTGGTTTGCTGAAAACAGCAAGAAGAGTGCTGGAACAGGCTTCTTGTGGCTGATTTGCTGAAGAAAATAGTAAAAGAGGGTTGGAAAAGCTTTCTTGCGGCTGGTTTGCTAAAGAAAACAGAAAGAAAAGGGCCATTTGCTGAAGAAAAGAGCCTTCTTGTGGTTGGTTTACTGAAGAGGGCCGGAATAGCATTCTGCGGCTGGCAGGCTGCAGGAACTACACCGGACTGCAGGAAACTGGTGAAATGCAGGACTGCAGGAGTGTAGGCAGCTGTTGAAAGGAATTTTGATGGGTTGCACTGTGTAGATGATGGAAAGAACAGCCGGGAAGAAGCTTCTTGCAGAGGATTGATGTTAGTGTAACGAGAGCATCATTTGTTATGTTTCTTGATCTACATCAAGAAGGGGAAGGCACATTTTAAAAAAGTGTAGACTCCTTAGGGAAGAAGAGAGACTAGAAAGGGACAAACCATAAATATTTCATTCCATAACATTTTCTTACATTAGGAGGGATATTTATAATGCTTGTGTGGACGAAGTTTAGAATATAAACCAAGTTTACAACATAAAATTAGTCTACCTAACACAAAGTTAAAATAGAATACAAGAAATAAACTAGTGCTTATTACATATATAGCCTATTTAATTTGTACTTTATTTGGCTAAAGATACGTTGTTGATGTATAACAATAACCCAGCCATTCTAGATGAATTAAAAGGATTGATGAGGATGTTAGAAACTGCATAGCAGATGTACTATAACAAGTCCATGCCATGAGCATTTCAAGACAACCAGAACTTAACAGGGGATCAATAACAGATCTAAAGGGGTAGATATTGTCAACATGGTTTATATATAATCATGGTTATAAAAATCCATCAAAATCTAGTCTGAAATGGTTTGGTCTGGTTTCTACCTGGCCCAAAACAAAAAAAAGCCTCAAACCATTTTCATCATTTTTTCCATTCACATGGTTACAGGTCTATTCAGTCAGTTCAGTTTCAAAAACACATGAAATTGGTGCTAGTAAAGGGGGTGTTTAACAAATTATACCAACTCTTCTTCCGTACATAAATAAACCTATTTAATTTAATGGGAATGGAAGCGGTGAAGTATTTAATTTAAAGGCAATCATCCAACTTTTTTTATGTCCCACCCTCTCCACCAATTTTTCTCGAGCCAACAGAAGCATTCACATATAGCTATCGATTCATATTACTTACTTTAAGCTTGAAAATAACCATCTCCATGAAAAGAGGCACTAAGGAATCTAGACCCCAAAAACCCTCCTACATTTATACAGAAATCCTAATTTTAATACATCTTAGTGAACACCACTTAATCCAACCCAAGTCAATCCACATCCCCGCCAACCCTAATTCAAGTTAAACAAAACCTAGGCTCTTGGATACACTGTCCCTCTAAACCCTTTTTATGCATTGGGAATGTCTCTCATTTCTTGACAATATTTTATGATTTTTAGTTATTTGTGCTCTTTACTTAATCTTTTACAACTTTTATATTCAGCATTTTAAATGAATCTACTTACACTCCGTATTCTCCACAAATTGATGATTCCATTCTACCTTCTTGCCTACCTGAGCCACATTATCTCAACCCCCAACCCCACCATTTGGACTAATCTTGTTAGCCTAACATTATCACTATGTATCCACCATCTTCAAAATATAATTATTACAATGACTTTGTCGATTATTATATCCATATAAAACATCAACAATCCTAAAATTCACATAAATATTATGTTCTTATCATAGTTATTTTAATGATATTTATTAGAATAAGAGGTATCAAATTTTAAGCTCTTCCTATCACAATACTTATGAAACATAACCTCCATGATGTAATTTTTTATATTGTTATCTTTATAAATCATATCTAGGATCAAGCATATTCCTCTCCATAAATCCTCTTCTTAGGCCAAAACTCCAGACTATTCTCCCTTCGGATCTCATCATGTCTCAAATTTTTTAGCCACTCTTAACCAACTTAGGACTATTATAGAGAATTACTCTTCTACATTGAACTAGCTGGATTACTGATTTAAGGAAATAAAAATGATCAATTCACTTCTCCATCATGTCACTCCAATCCCAAATTCCCAAATCCATCAGCATTACTGCCTCAACCTGCTCATGTATTTGAGCCTGAGTGTAATGATGTGATTATGGGAGCCTGATTATGTGCTTTTGTGTGTGTGTGTGTGGGTGGGGGGGGGGGGGGGGGGGGGGGGGGGGGGTCTCCAAGCTCTGTTGTTGTTCCCTAGCCTCTATAGATAAAGATACAAGTTGTGCCGCAACTTCCTCTACAATTGTCCTCTCCATCACATTTGACTTTAATTTTCCGTTGTTGAGATGAACAGAGTGTTATCAAAGAGATCATATGCCATGGCATAATGAATGGAAACATGACATTTCAAGTTTTACTATTTCCATTAACCATATGATTGCCAAAAAGAATGCTACTTAGTTCCCTATATAATCTCAAACTTATTTGCTCTTATAGGTTATTTCATATAGCCACTACCACAATAGTTGTACTATCATTGGAACCTTGCCCATGTAATTGATATAATCCAAGATGTATGTTAACATCCAACTATGAAGACTCCAAACTCTCCACTAATTTAAGTCTCCAACCTCTGTTGTTGTTCCCTAACCTCTATAGATAAAGATACAAGTTGTGTCGCAACTTCCTCTACAATTGTCCTCTCCATCACATTTGACTTTAATTTTCCATTGTTGAGATGAACAGAGTGTTAACAAGGAGATCATATGTCATGGCATAATGAATGGAGACATCACAATTCATGTTTTACTACTGCCATTAACCATAAGATTGCCAAAAATAATGCTACTTAGTTCACTATATAATCTCCAACTTATTTTCTCTTATAGGTTATTTCATAAAGCCACTACCACA